AATATCTCCAAGTCTCCTGTTGTGGAAGAGATGTTCTATAGGCATAGAAACCACACTTCTCCTGCCCCTACTTACAGGATCCTAGAGCTTGGTCCTTCCAGGCAGGGTGGGTCTGCTTTCCTGGGGAGCCTCATGCTTATGCTTCAGATGCACTGATAGCAATGCCCCTCTGGTCTACAGGAGCTGATTGGAGATGTTGCTGGAAAGCTGAGCATTGGAAGAAGCACAAATGAACAGGTAGTTATACAGCTGATTGGGTTCTTGTTCTCTATTCCTCAATTCAAGAGAGCACTAATCAGAATGGGCTTTGGGTCTCCTCCTGGAGAGCAATACATAGTGACTTTCATAGTGACTAAAGACACGGTTGATACAAAGGGAGATGACCCTCAACCCCATCAGACCCTCTGCGGAACCTGGTCACAAGGTATGTCCCATCTTACTATTGTTGATCCTGGCCGATCTCCTCCAGGTTGTCACTGACTTGAAGCTGTTCATGAAGAAATCCATCTCTGTGGTGTCCACTCACCTGCTGCAGCTCATTAAGACCCTGGTGGAACGTGCTGCCATGTGAGTCCCTCCCCAACACCGTAACCTCAGTCCTTCTTGGAGTATGAGACTTGCAGCCCTTGCTCTTTGCCTGGCACACACATACAGGCAACTACAAGATCTTTGTCTCCTTTCACCCGCAGAGAAATCGATGTTATCCTCCCTGGCTACACCCACCTGCAAAAAGCTCAGCCCTTCAGATGGAGCCAGTTCTTGCTCAGGTAACTGTCTCGTCCTGCACTGTGGCGCCTTCTCCAACCTTGTAAGCTGCTGCTGCAGCTGCCCATGGTCAATACATCTTCATTCTGACCCCACAGCCAGGTGCTTGGGGAGGGAGGTTTCTTCAGATCTTTCATGTCTCATGTCCTTTCCTAGCCACGCTGTTGCGCTGACCCGGGTCTCTGAGCGCCTGGGAGAGATCAAGAAGAGGGTCAATATCCTGCCTTTGGGAAGGTAAGGTCCACATTCTGCCTGACATCTGCACTGCAGAGAGGCTGCTCAGGATGTCACGCGTGACTTCTGTTCCTTTCTTCCTCGGCAGCGGTGCCCTGGCTGGAAACCCACTGGACATCGACAGAGAGCTGCTGCGCAGCGGTAGGTGTCTCGTGACAACTGAAGGTCCAGCCCTTGTATCTCAGAGGGAGGGAAGCAGGGACACATTCTCCTCTCCTAACGCTTGCAAGCTGGGAGCACAGACACAACCACCTCTGCTGCACCCCTGCAGCCTGGGGCAAATAATGAAGGCCCCAGCTCAGTAAAACACTTGGGAAGTGTCTGTGTCCCTTGGGATACACTGCAGGACACCTGCCCACTGGACCAAGCTGCTGCGGTCGAGCTCCAGCGCTGCCAAGGCTGAACCCTTCTGTCCATCTCTTTCCTTGCAGAGCTGGACTGTGCTTCCATCACCCTGAACAGCATGGATGCCATCAGTGACAGGGACTCTGTGGGTGAGCACAGCTCTATTATTACTTCTCCCTCCTTCATTTTCTGAATGGTTCAGGAGAACCATTCTTCTAAGAGCTACCCTATTAACCTGATTTAACATGGGGCTGAAATGCCTCACTAGGGAGAAAATAAACAGACAAATGTTTCTGACTCAGAGTTGACTGTGTTGTCAGCAAGGAAATGGCTTTTTAACTTACTGATTTCTCTGTTCTGTAGTTGAATTACTCTCTGTTGCCACTCTGCTGATGCTCCACCTTAGCAAGCTGGCTGAAGATCTCATCATCTACAGTACCAGCGAGTTCGGCCTTGTGACCATCTCCGATGCCCTCACGTAGGTTTCCGGGTTTCTAGGCAGAGAGCTCTTATGAATAGGTCTCCTGAAAGGTCCCCATTCCTCTTCAGTGGGGAATTGTTACTAATTCTAGTAATTTGCTGTAATCTGTATTTGGGGGACACTCTTCCCCAGCAACTGCTGGCAGGATCAGGCTGTAGAATAGCAGAGAGAGAGAGCTTTCTTCTCTGCTGGGAAGCCAGAGAAGCTTCTATTTTCTTCCTCTTTGGGACACAATTAAGGGCAGGACTTTGTGGGACATCCATACAAGACTAAGACTTAATGCTCAGCTCTGGAAAACACTTTTATTTTCAGCACTGGCAGCATCCTGATGCCTCAGAAGAAGAACCCTATAAGCCTGGAACTGATCCGCAGCAAGACTGGACGTGTGCTTGGCCGGGTGAGTCTGGTAAAGAAAGGTGCGGAATGGGGGAACTGCTCAGACTGGGGCTAGTACAGTTTCCATAGTGGATTAGATGAGATCCCTTTCCTCCCATCAGACTCAATGTCCTGGGAGATTCCTTAGGTCCGCTTTTCTACAGAGTCTCATCACTTAGAGTAAAATTTGATGGCTGCTGAGTTCAAGAAGTCTTACACTAGGTTCCTGTGGATTTGTTGAGGCATTCACTAAAGGCAGACTGACTAGTATAAATTAGCAATAAAGATGGCAAGAGAAAGAGTACTGCCTCAAGCAATGCATTCAGAGGCTTTGGCCTTCTATGGAGACAATCCACTAAAAGCAGCCCTGGAAACATGCACTACTTCCATGTCCACATCTTAGCAGCATCCTGTAGGTGAGGAATTACCACCCTTCATCTTCTTCAAGGCACTCGGTGAAGGAATGTGCCAGTCTTAGCTTTGGATCACTGCTGGGGAAACACATACCCCTTCCTAGAGCTAAGTGCCTTTCCTGTTCTTCCCTGCAGCTTGTCTCTATTATCATGGTTCTCAAAGGACTTCCGAGCACCTTCAGCAAGGATCTGCAGGTAAAACAGATAATTGCTCTCAATCTATTTTTCTGAAAAGACACAACTGTCTCCTGAGCTGCAAGCAGTTCTTGCCACTAGCTTTCCCTGCTGCAGCCCAGGGGAGCCCCTCTGGTGTCAGCACCTGCTCTGCTGGCCTTGCTGCTCAGGCTGCCGGGCTTCCCGGCTGCTCCAGGTTGACTTACTGCAACTCCTCTCCATCCATGTTATCACACAGGAGGACAAGGAGGCTGTCATTGATGTGGTGGACACCCTGACTGCTGTGCTCCAGCTTGCCACTGCAGTCATTTCTACCCTCCAGGTAAGGCTTTGACCTCTCATGGGCTCTCTGCAACCCCTTCACTAGCTGCTCAGATCCACCCTGCTCTGGGATCGCATGGCACTGAGGGCCCAGATGAAAAGCCCTCGCTGTGACGGCAGCATGTCCCAGGCAGGAGCTGATGGTCATGTCTCCCTCTGACCCTCCTCTCTGCAGATCAACAAGGAGAATATGGAGAAAGCTTTGACCCCTGAAATTCTGTCCAGTGACCTGGCTCTCTACTTGGTTCGTAAAGGAGTAAGTATCACAGGGAGCCTCTGAGCTTCATTTCTTTAGACCTACAATACTGCTCAGTGAGGGCCTGAGATGAGGCCTTCTGTTCTGTCCCCAGGTGAGGATCAGTCTGGGTCAACAAACACGAAAGCTGGAAACATATTCTTTACATGTATCCAAAGTAGTGGAACTGCTGCCAGGTGGACTTGATAGTAATTTACAGGTGGAGTTCTACCTCCTAGTGCCTTCCCCTTTGACACCCTAGAAAACCCAGAGTCAGCCAGACTGCATTGCCCTAACCCAAAAGCAAAATAACCAACCCAAAAAAGAGAGCACGTGTCCATCTCGGAGTCTGCACTGCAGCTACCTGCTCACTGACTGTTGTCTCCCCTTCTTCCTGCAGATGCCATTCAGACAAGCCCACACTGCTGTTGGAAAAGCCGTCCACCTTGCTGAGACTAAGGGCATCACCATCAACAATCTCACTCTGGAAGACCTGAAGAGCATCAGGTCTGTCTCAGTGCTCTTTGCCATAGTATCTGGCAGCAAAGAGCACCCATCACTCTCTACTCACTCCTCTCCTCTTTGCCTTCGCAGCCCTCTGTTTGCCAGCGACGTGTCCCAGGTCTTCAGCATCGTCAACAGCGTGGAGCAGAACACGGCTGCAGGAGGCACCGCCAAGAGCAGCGTGACCACCCAGATCGAGCAGCTGAGGGAGCTGCTCAAGAAGCTGAAGGAACAAGCTTAGAGTGTGGGGAGATATCCCGTGTATGCAGCTTTGTGCTTATCCCACTGGTCTGCAGTTTAAATAAACACCGTGGTGTATTGTAGTTCACTCAAACTCCTGGCTTGCGTATTTCTTTTCGGGGCAATGTTGAGCTGGGCCTCTTGAGCCCTCAGGAGCCTGAGGAAAGGTTCACTGGTGCAAAATGCTCGGGGCACTATCCTCTGGCTGGGGAGCAACTTTAGGGGACATCTAGGGGGGCTGGTAGCCAGAGAGCAGCAAGAATGTCTGTCCACACCAAGAGACCTGCAGATGTGTCTGGGGGTGGATGCAGCACAAACCCGGCTCCAGCAGAGCCAGAGCAGCCTACACAAGGTGCTCAGGGAAGTCCATGTGCATGCACAGAGCAAGACTCGCAGCACCACATCTGCCAGAGATGCCACAACCCCAGCCAGTCTGCTTACCTCCTGGGAAGAGGGAGCAAGTGGCCAAAAGAAGCCTCCTCACCAGCCAGCACTGAAACTTGCTTAGTCTTGAGGCAGAACATGGGCATCAGGTGATCCCAGCCCATCACAAAACCTCCCATGGCTCTGACTTATCCCAAAGCACAGGGGTTGTTCGGTCCCTGTCCAAGTTCTTTCCTCTGCGTGTCTCAGGTTTCCTCTCCTCCAAGCTAGCTGGGGACACAGCACTTAGAAAGAGGCCTGGCATGGCTGGCTGCCTCTAACAAATCATTTACCACCCTCCCCCTCTCCTTACAAAATTAAAATCAGAATAAAGACTAGGGAAAGCCTTACTTAGGAAATGAAGGAACAGAAATCTGATGCTTTTCTTATGAAAATAATTAATTATAAAATGCTTGAAACATCACTCTTCCCTTATTGCTCTGCTCTCATTTCTGGACGAAATTAAACTTCTCCTTGTTTCAAAAGGCAGAAAAGGAACTGTCTATAGGGAAGATGGGGCATTTTTCACTAAACATTAGCCCAGCTTGGCCTTAGTACTAGAGCACTGTAGTGCCACTTTCCATAGACAGTTTATTTTTTGTCACAGCGTTATGAAGCCAGTGATTTTGATCTGCTGCGGAAGCAGCACCATGCTATTGACTTTGATTGCCACAGGGCTCTGTATCACAGGCATTGCTTCATTAAGTTTAGGGTAGGGGCTCTAGTAAACTCTGCAAAACATAAATCTCCTGACATCAATGAAGTGCCTCAGAGACATAAAGTGCTTTCACCCAACCTTTGTAGCATTTGTGCTTTAAGCATGCAGAAGCACCAGCAACAAAAACTTCCCTGTCTTCAACAATTCCTCCCATTCTCATTCTCTCCTTACTCTAGCCCTAAGCCAGATCCATTTTTTGACATTTCCACCCCCTTTCTATAAAGCTCCTTTGGGTTTGCTCTGTTGCTTACTGCAGTGCTTCTCTTTTGAATTGTTTTACTCTCCAAATAGGTTAGCTCTGGTTTAAGAAATCATTTACGTACCCTTAGCTAAGAGGGGAAGGGAGCAGGAGAGGAAGAGCTGATGCCATATACACGAACCAAATCAGAAAAAGGGATGTCTCCTCACACCCAGCTCACAGCTCTTTTCTTTCCTCCATTAAACTTGCTTCATCTGTACCACTTTCCTCCTCCTCCCTGTTTTTATCTTCTAGCCCCTACCTTCTAGTTCCATCTCCCAGCTCAGTCCTTCTCGGGCCTCAGCTGTAGATTTCCTCTTGCTCCCAGCAGCAACATTTCAGCATCTCTGTGGCCAGCACTGAGTGATATCATGCCCTGTCAAACAAAAGAAAAAAACAAAGGAGGTTTTAGTAGATTATTGCATCTTGGGCTCCTGCTTAAATGAGTAGTTCATAATTACTGGTATATCCCACTCAACTGCTCTTTTCTTAAATTATAGAATAATTTAGATTAGGAGGGACCTGTGGACATCTCTGGAGCTCCACAGACATTACAGGTGTCTGTGGACCAGAGTATCCTGCAGATTTTCACCATCATTCTACTATGACTCATTGCAATCTGATGTTTTAAGATATCATTTCTCATCACAAGAAGTTCTGGGCAGACAGATCAGAGGCTTAGGACACTACTCTGAGGCTACCTGTACTTAAATCCCTGTTCCATTACAGACCACATGAAAGTCAAAATTTCAAAACATATTTCAGTATCTAGAATGGCAGAAAGGTGTTGAAAATCTCATGACTATGTATCTCACTGCGCACCTAGCAGATGTCCATCTCACAGAGCAGCTCTTGAAACACTGCACAAGGTAGTGAACTGTTTCCTTTGTCCCTCTTCCCTTGCCCCCTGCAAAGATATCTAAACTACTCACGTCCTGGAAAAATCCCAGGGAATATTCTGGCTCCTGAATATGTTGCTATGCTTAGTCTTTCTATCCCCTAATTCTCTATTAAAGAAATAGGGCTAATGACATTTCTCTGCCTTCACAAAGTAGCTGTAAAAACCCACGTACTGTTTGACTGCAACGTCCCCTGCAGGCAGCATGGGTGAATTTCGGACAGCAATATTCAAATGTGGAGACTAGCACCCTCCTTGCTCGGGGTGACACAAACTTACTGTATCATGGTCCTTCAGCTACTCTGATGCCTCACAGTGTAGAGAGCCAAAAACACTACAAAGAAGCCTGAAACTAATGGAATATAAACTGGAACTTTTTATATTTAACCATTTAAGTATAGTTAATTTACAGGAATCAAAGCCATCACGTATCACACGTACATAGGATGATTACTCATGTGAATATCCAGATAACAAAGTAGATACAGGAGAGTTTTGAAAGTGCCACAGAAATCACAACTGCCTTATTTGTTTATTTTCCTTTGGGTCAAGAACGAAGTCTCAGGGAGAAGTTCCAGGTCTTGCTGGGTGCCCTCTAAGCCTCCCTGGCTGCAGTGCCTTGGGTATCTCCTTCCCTTTCTCATTTTGGGCAATTTTTGTTCTGTACCTTCACACAGAAGCATGTGCAGTCTTTGCATGAGTTGTGTGTGTTCCACACAGCCAATCTTGAGCCCACATCACAGACATCATTAAATAAATTTTCTCCTTGTACATGATTCAAAAACATAAATCTGGTACTTACTGTTTTGCCAACACCTCAGCAATGTCCTGTCAAAGCCCAGAATAAGGATAGTGATGCTCCTAAAGACTGAACAAGACAAGAGAAGCAGTAAAAATGTGGGACTTCAGAATTGAAAGGAATCTAGTGATAAACCTTGTCCACTGGCAAGGATGGGCCCAAATGCAAAACACAGGAAATAGGGTCTGAACATAACACAACACTTTTTCACTGTGCAGATGGTTGAACAAAGAACAGGTCACCCAGAGAGACTATGGAATCTCCATCCTTGGAGATATTCAAAACTCACCTAGACATGGTCTGTGGCAATCTGCTCCAGTCGACCATGCTTGAGCAGGGCGGGTGGATCAGACAATCTCTAGGGTCCCGTCCAACCTCAACTATTCTGTGACCCAAAGGCAAATCTCTTACAGGTGCTGTGTTAACTACGAAACCAGATAAATAATCTCAGCCTTGCTCTGGACTGATCCTGATGGCAGCACCCTGGAAACTCAGCTGGAAAAGATGCTCATTCATTTCGTAAGCCTGAAATTAGCTTTGTCACTCTGTGTGTGTCCACTCAGCTATAGAAACCAGAATGCTCTAATCATGGAAAGATCCTACTGCACCTTAGACTTCACCTTCAACTCAGAAAACAGACGAGCGGTAGAACTGAGAGAAGAACACAGAAACCTGGACTAGGTTCTTCCAACCTAAATTATTCTATAATCTTGCAAGAACAGAGCTACACAAGGAGAAGAAAAACCCAAATGAGCACAAAAAAAATCAGACGTGTTTCCAACCCTCCCTCGAAGGCCTTGTCAGTATGTACAGAAAATATGGCATGGTTGCACAATCTTTAAGGCAAGGCAGAACTCCCTGGTGTTGAGGGAGTGGCAGAGGGACAGAGCAGGGCTGGCCCCGGGGACGCTCCGCCCCAGTGGGATGGGACCAGCCGCCGGCTCCAGGACGAGCTGGGTAAAAGCCCGAGTGGCTGTGGGTGTGCTGAGAGAGACCAGGGCTGTGCGGTGGAGTCGGCAAGTGGCACCAGACCAGCAGTGGGGCCTTCCACCCGGCTGCTGTTGGGCTGGGGCTCTCGGCCTCCGGAGGGGCTCTTGGCAGCTCGCAGGGCTGCAGGGACCCCCGGGCTGTGCCAGGGGACACAGCTGAACCTTTGCTGTTCCACAGGTTGCACGAGTTGCAGAGATCTCTACACACGCAAGCAGAACATCGTCCGAAATGGCAACTGAGGTGAGGGCGAGCTTTGCTTCTCCTGCTTACTGTGCTTGTCTCTGGAGTGTGCTGACTAATTTATATTATTTATAAGGATTATAACTTAAGTTATAATCCAAGTTCCTAGCAGCTCAGCCTGCTGCTTTCTTTCTTCAGGTTCTTCCTTCTACCTGCGAGAGACTAGTAACTGATGCAGTTCATTCCTGCCTGTTTGTGAACAGGCAGATACTTTACAACAGCTTGTGCAAACACTTCTCTGCCCAGAAGCTGCATTTTCGGTTTCTGTGCCTGCTAGATGAAGCACGACTAGTTGCCCAACAAGTCATGCTTTCTGCCTTCAGAAATGGCTGCTGCAGTCCTGGCTTCCCCTGCTCCTGTCAGTAGCAACATTACAAACATCCATGAGGTGTCAGAATGCACTAGCCACTTCCTTCTCTGAACAGATCTCTGTAATTATTAAAAGTTCTTTTGACTTTGATTTCTTGATTACAAGTAGGTGTTGCAATGCTTCTGTTCATCCATCTCTGATTTGAGTGGAAATCCACAGTGCTAAAGATATCCTTAAAATTCCTATTCCCCAAACCAGTGTTTAGCTTCCTGTAATAAGGGGGTTTTATTTCCCATCCATTCATTCCCATTCATTCATTCATTTCCCATTCCCATCATTCTCCTGTAAATGCAGGCTCCATGCTGAGGGCCTGTACTGCTTTTGAATTCTGATTCTCGCCCTCCTTCCTCCTAGTTCATATTGACAAAGCTGTCCTGAAGATCACAAACACCTTGTGCTCCTCCAGAGCACCTCTCCTCCAGAGGAACCCTCTCCTGCTCTCCTATCCCCACTTTGACTCAGCCATGATCGGCAGAGATGTGGACACAGTTACGGTTACTCAATAGGGCTCTGTCTAACTGATAAAATCCCAGACAATTTCCTAGATCCTTATTAGTTCCAATGTATGGCATGACAAGAGACTGACAGGCGTATTTAGGAATTCAAGATAAAAAACTGTATTATCTGGTGTTAGTATTAGGTGTACACCAGTATTAGGTGTACAGTAGCAACTATGTTTAACTGTCACCTGGTAAAGTAATTGATGACACACACAAATATTTGAAGTCACTCTATGAATGTCAGGGTGGGGGAAAAAACAGCTTCTTGCATTACTTTATTTTAAACCTTCTTTGTGCTGTTTTAATTTTCCTGAACATTTCTAATCCCAAAAGGTCCTTAGATCTCGCCATTCTGCAGTCAGCACCTTACCCAGTTTCACGCAAAATTTCTGCCAAAGTTTGCAAAGCAAATCCTGGACACCACAGGTGCTTCAAACAGTAACTTCAAGCACTTCATAGGCTTGTATTGACTCAGGGCTCTTCTGACAATCAAAGTAGCTTAGACACAAAAAAAGACTCAAGATTGCAAAAAGTACAAGATATTTGCTTGCACTGCATTCCTCTGACCTGTGGACTTTTCTTTGCCTCTTTAAGAAGCTCTCTGAAGGCTGGAGACCTGCAGATGCCTTACTACACAGATCCATACAGGCCGAGCACCACATGCCCATATAGTTGTTTGCAAGGACAGGCCAGGCTCGCTCCATACTCCTGTTGAACTAAGGCATCTTGGAGCACTCCTCAGCCAGACCTGACAGCTCAAGGGCTAAATGCTACTGACAGGGACATGTTCCATCTCTTCCACTGCTTGCAAAAGGTCTGTAAGTTCAGTGGCCTTTCTGGTCAGGGCTACTGAACTGAAACGACATGCTTGAGTGTGGCCTCTGTGCTGGATAAAGAATTAACTGGGTATTAGGTAGTCTGTGGGACCATAAGTGACATTAAGAGCCTTTTTTTAAAAAAAAATCACTTTCTTTCTCTCAGGGGGATAAACTCTGGGGAGGAAGGTTTGTTGGAAGCACAGATCCAGTCCTGGAGATTCTCAACTCCTCCATTGCCATTGACAAGAGACTGGCTGATGTTGATATTCAGGCGAGCATGGCTTACGCCAAAGCCTTGGAGAAGGCCAGCATCCTCACTAAACCTGAGCTGGAGAAGATCCTGAGTGGCCTGGAAAAGGTATCTATGTCCTTGGCCCACTCTCCTGTCTCCTCTGGCCTACGTGCAATTCCCGCACTACCATTTCAGAAGCCCTGCTGCCTTGGAGGGATGAACACTATGACTTGCCCTTCCACCCTCTTCA